TCCTCTGAAGAGTCGATGCGGATCGTAGATTGATCCTGTACCGGGGGGTCCAGTACTGGAGTGGCTCGAACCTCAGAAGATGATTTTTTCTTCTTCTTCTGTTTAGTAGAGTCAGAAGGAGGGATGGATGGTGGTGCCAAAGCTGGCTTGGCAGATGGGGGTGCCTTAGATTTATGTTTCAGTCTGAGAGAAGCCTTGGAAGGAGTCAGAGAAGTAGTAGTCAAAGTGGAAAGGTGTAAAGGAGGCTCAGCGGTAAACAGAGCGTCCATGGGTGGAGGTTGAAGGGATTTTTTCCCCAAAGATAGGATCGTAAACATTGCTCTCTCCGATTCAGAGCCTGCTTCGTAATGTTTTTACAAAACTGTCAGGAGGAAGTCTGATGGGTTTCCCCCAGGCTGAAAAGGCAGCATTTATGACCGTCTGAGAGAGAGATCTTATTGAAGCACATGATGGACTTCATAAACGGGGGAGGCTTCTTTGCCATAAATGGCAGGAAGGGGGAAAAAAAAAACAAGGAGAAAGGGGTAAGGGGAGGGGGCGTTACTGTTAGTGATGAGAAGAAAAAATTGTCCTAAGAGAAAAAATTGTTTTTTTTATAGGAATCGCGAAGGCAAAAGAGGAGCAGCTCTAAGGAGGAGACTTCATGCAGTGGCGGTAAAAAAGAACTGAGGTGCCCAGAGGGCGGGGCGGACCTTGTGGATGGGAGGGGGTGATCTATTTAGATTAGCATAAAGCTCTAGAATATTCCAGAGATCTCTGCACAGGCACAGAGTTAACCTGTTAGTGTGCATTCACAGAGACCACGAAGAAGAAGTGGACTATTCATGTTTTTGGTTTTGTGCAAAGCACAGAGGGAGAAAGTGAGATGTGAATACTTCCTGTGGCAAGATACACTTTCTGTCAATAGAAGGAGAAAATGCAGGGAGCTGTTCTTCCCTCCACCCAGCTTTGCATAAAACCCAAGAGTGTGGGGGAAAGCAGTCAAACTAATTTATGCTTCCTCCCACTATCCCTTCTTTATCTTCTACAAAGTCATCCAGAACATGTGTTGTGATACAATGTATCCACATAAATATATATCCATATTGTATAAAATACCTACAGCACAATTCATTTTCAACTAAAAACAGCACAAGAAGAGAACCACACTGTAATGCTCCAGCACTGACTTTAGTGGATAAATAATGAGGATGGTTATATTTTAGCAGGCTTTCTCAGAGTAAGATCCCTGTAAATGAGATTCGTTGTATCGGCTATGTTTAAATGTGATTGTTTTAATTTTGATATTATTTTTCTATAATTGTACTTCACATAGAAAAGCAGGTTAAAAACTCAGAACTAAATGAGGGAAAGAACAACCTTAACTACATATCAGAGACTATGCTTACTCTGTGTGTATGTAAATTCTGTGATCATTTATAAAACCAAATATCAAAATGTCATAACATCCACACTATGTTTCTAAATGTATTTTAAATTATCCTTCTCTGTTCTTTCCTTCCAATAAGTTCATTGTAAAGCTCTCAATCAGTGAACTCACTTGGACTTACAACAGTGAACCATTATTTTAGTGTTTTCTAAAAGGGAATGTCCTTCCAAGGGACCTCCAAATTTAAATCTTATACAAAATGTCAACTGCAAAAGGAATTTCAGAAAAACTGGCACCCATTATTGCTCCCTAATACTGCAAAATTGTGTAATATTGTTCAAATTTCATACTAAATCCCTGGAGCATGTAATAATGCACTAAAAACTGATATTAGTATTACTCATTATTTTTCCAAATAATAAAGACCAAAGGTGTAACTTTTCAATAGTAATGGAATATTCATTTCTATAGTGAGTAATGTTACCTACAAGGATAATTAGTGCTTTTCTTGGATTATGTCAGATGGCTAAGGCGTAATGCGCTGCTCTTGTTTGAATATGAAAATAAGGATTCCATGAAACTCAGAGCAGGAAGAAACCCTGTTCTCATATAAACTTCATAGGCCAGATGATTCAAGGCAGGTTTAAAATATATATATTTAAAAATATAAGTAACAGCCATTCTTCAACAGCTAAAATCACTATGCTTCCCAGCTATGCTGCCTTGGAAAAGTGATGTCTCCCTTGCACTATGGAATTAGCCACCATTTTTAAATTCACAATGTCCTTGGAACATTTCACCACATTCTTATTATTTACAAGGGCATTTATGCCCCTATCTTCAAAATGCATGACAGCAGTCTACTTTTTAGCTATTTTACTGTAAGTGGCTATTACTCATCTTCAAAAAGAAGGCATCCTACAAATTCCAAAATTGTTTTAATTGGCTAATGATTTACCAAAGAGGTAAAGATCAGGTGGAGTTCACTTGGGAACACGATCTCAAGAAATTCCTCAAGTATTCCAACTACAGATCATTATAGGTCTTAATGCTCTGTATGTCTGTAATCATGAGAGTTAGAACAGAAAAGGCCCTGGTTATGGCAAGCTCTAACTCCCTCCAAAGTATCTGATACTACTCTAGTCCAGATATTACGCTAAACCATGGGTTTAGTTTTATGAAGACAGGCAGTCACAGGTTTTTCTCACATGTTCTCCTGGGCTCTGCTTTGCACTGAGATCAAAGAGTTTAAATACTTTTGAACAATCAGCAGTTTACTGATTTCTTCAAATCATTCTCAGTGCAGCCAAAACAGAATCAAAATGTGAAGAGATTAAGAACTGGGGAAAATGGATTAGGGAACCTTTCTGAAAAAAATCAGGTTTTTCTCAGTGGCTGGGAACAGCTGGCTAAGAGAAAGGAGGGAGGCAGCTTTTACACACCAAAGAATAGAAGCATCACCTGTGATTTATCTGTTAGGCCAGTGGTCCCCAACCTTTTTGACACCAGGGACCGGTTTAGTTGAAGACCTTTCTCCCAAGTACTGGGTGTGTGTGTTTACTTGTTATGCAGTAGGTCAGTTTCCTCCCTCTCCAGTCCTAAGAGTTTGGGTGGATCAAGGCCCTTGTGGTGATGGAACATGAGGCACTCAGTAGCGAGGTAGTCCAGGCTGGAATACCTTGAGGGTGCACCTGTCTTTGATGGATGGACATAGAGGCCAGGGGGATGCCTGAGGATCTCCCGGCAGGGCTTGGGATCAGGCTTGCCCTCCTGCCTCCCGGCTGGAAAAGGAATAGAAAAGCGAGGTGAGGCATTGCCGCCGCCACCTCCCCCCATCTCTGTCCAGCCTGGGTGTGTGCATCGCCCTCCCAGCTGGCCAGGCCCAATCTCGGCTCCCCGGTGATTTTGAAGCCCCTTCCTCTGTCCTCCCTGTGAGGCATCCAGCCCGGTCACCCCCTCCTTTGCTGCCACTGAGCCACCTGCTCTCCACCGCCAGGTCTGGGCTGGGCACACTGGGCGCTGCTACCGCCCTCCCTGCCTCCTTCCCAGCTCCTTCATGCAATGGGTGCCTACCACCCATGCAACCTCATCAGAAGGGGAGATGAGCAGTGAAAGCACCTCTAGGGTGCCCCTGCCATGTCTGCCACCCCTGGGAGTCAGAGTCATACACAGCTGAGGCGACGGACCATGAGGGGCCAACATAGCCAGTGTTGCGGCCATCCACAGCGGGGCTCAAAGCCACCTTTGATGAGCTGGCCCCTGGCCGGGCTTGGTGGCTCCTCCCCTGCCCTCTCGGGGCCCTTGCGTTCCAGGGCACATAGGCAGGATGGCGGGGAAAGGGAGGAAAGCTGGGAGCATGATGACAAGAGGCATGCTCCTGCCTGCCACTCATCCGTCCCAGCGGCCTGGTCCTTCCAAGGCCACAAATCAGTACCAGTCCATGGCCCCGGGGGTTGGGGACCCCTGTGTTGGGCTAAAACTTCATGTCAGTTTGTTCCTCGATACTGTACTAATTGGGGAATAACTTCAGCTGTGGTGAAGGGGGGATAGAAACTGATTTCATCTTTGGAGGGAATTTGAGGGAATCTGAAGGCTGACTGGTGGATTATCTTGAAAAGTCTGGAAGGTGATGAATAAGGCATAAAAATAAGTTCAAAATTTTGTTCGTTTAGTTATCTCCTAGGAGATGCTATGCTCAGTTGCTACCCTGCTATGAGGAATGTACTCTGTGCATGTTCTGAGACCATGCCAAAGCTACGCTAATGTGTAAGTACTAGGAAATCTAGCTAGCATTCTTATTCTCTTGTGTGTTTGCTCTGTACTGCTCCTACCTTAGATTTTTTCTTGATCATTTTGCTCCAGAATACTTTTGTTGTTGCTCTTTTTGAAACCATTTGAGATGTTTTGCGTTTTGCCTTTTTTCAGTATATTTAATAAAATATTTAATCTCTATTAAATTCCCTGCATTTTGGCTAAGAGGGCCAAAACTCAAAACCTGCCCTTGCCTTGTCCAGCTACCAGGACCCTATATATTTTGTGAGTGCTTTGCAGAGTTGCATGAGAGTTAAAGTGCTTAAACCTTGTGATTTTTTGAACTCCCTGGAAGCACTGCTAAGTTGGATCAGACTAGAGTGTTGGGCGGTTACCAGGATAGGTAAATTTCTCCAGCCACCACCACATTTAATTCTCCTGGCCTCACCCGCTCCAGGAACAGCAGAGTAGTATGGCACAAATCATAATTAATATCCTGGCTTGTGAATTGTGGCTTGAATTAGCTATCATTCCCTAGATTTAAATATAACAGGAAACTGATTTGTTCACTGACATGAACAAAAGATTTAATGCTTTTCATTTCACATGCAAGGGCAAAGAGGTCAGTGTACAAGCCTGAATCGTCCAGTTGCTCATGCTCATTATGCTAACTCATGGTTTAGCATTAGGTCTGCACCAGGCTGAAGTCTAGAATGTCAAGCTATGAACAGAAATCCAGTAGTCTATGGAAGAAAGGCTCACAGAGTATTAGCAACTGCTATAAAGCTAAGGGAGGAGTATCAGAGTACATTTAAGTGTTGCAGAAGAAAAAGCAATACAGAACAGAATGTAGAATGTAGTTTTAAAAAGAAGTTCTCACCTTCAGAAATGCTGGAATCATGGAACATAGTTTCAAATGCTTGGTGAGTCTCAGCAAATGAAGGCCTGTCTAGTGGGTTCCATTTCCAACCTTCAGCATGAAAAAAGAAGACAAAATATTACGACGATCCCAATGTAATGAAAGTTATGTACCAGCAATATCAAGCCTCAATATCTCCATTCAGAATGTCAATGTCAAAGAGCAATAATGAGCTCTTCAGGAGATCCACAGATGAATTTTAACTGCTCTGGGACAATCTAAGAGCTACCCCCTCAATTAAAATGTGCTCTTCCCTCCTAATAATAATAATAATGAAATTAGCGCTGATCCATTAAATCAAGGGAATGCATGCTGCTTTAGAGAAGAATCATTGGTCCTGGAAGCTTCCTGAATCATGTTTCACGTCTTTGCAATCCACAATGGAAAGGGGGGGGATCAAGGGGCCATTTCTATTGTTAACTTCAAACTGGCAGAATTTTTGAGATCCTTGTCATGATTTACCAATTCTTTTTAGAATGCACAGGCCCTGGAGTGGTTAAAAGAATATTTACAAATATCAGACTTGCTCTAGAATGATCAGCAATCTGGTCTAGAATTTTGTTTCTAGCAACAGCCAGCCAGGCCCAAAAGCAGCACCTGAAAGTAACCTTTTTAAAATTATTTGTTCCCAACCCCTAGTACTCAAGAACAGGGGTCTCCAACCACCGGTCTGCGGCCTGGTGCCAGTCCACGGCCTGGTGCCAGTCTGTGGCCTTGGCCAGACCGCGGAGACAGATCTCCACCCCCGCATGCCCCCCGCATCCCCTTCGTGCACGCATGCAAAGGCCCCCACCGCTTGTGCATGTGCATGTGTGCTGTGCGAGCACCCCACGCGCATGCATGTGCATGCTGCACAAGTGCCCTGCTCCTTCATGCATGCATGTGTGTGTGTGCGGGTCACCCCCTGTGCTCGCACCACCCCTTCACACATGCGAGCACAGGGGGTGACCTGCCCCCTGCGCACAGAGCCCATCCCCTCCCAACCAGTCCAAGGTGTCGAAAAGGTTGGGGACCACTGCTCAAGAAGGTCAGCCATGGAGCTGAATGTCCATTTAGTATCATGGAAAATGGCTGCCTATCCTCCATGTATCTGTTTAAACCCCCACTAAGACATGTAGGCCAATAGTCAGTACAACATACTGTGCAAATTTATTCAATAAATTATGTTTTGCATGACAATACATGCTTTTCTGTTTGTTTGATGAGGGGGAAAACACCTCTCCTCACTCTTCCACAAACGACTTTAAAAAGTTTGGCCAACCTTCTTCTGAGTAGACAAAAACCTTTCAGTTTGCCACAGAAGAAAAATATTTTCACCCTATAGTTGATTTATTAGTTCTGTATCTTTTCCAACTCTGAAACTTTTGAGATACAGCAAAACTTCATCTAACCTTTGGGACATGGCTATGCTCAAGACTTATATAAAAGTATTATGACCTAGCCAGAATTAATTCAGGCTCCAGTAATTCCCTAACAGGGTTATTTTAATATGCTCAACGACTGGTCCACCCTTACAGAGTTTGATAGTTTCAACTGTTATAACATTCTACAACTAGTCTGTCAGCTGGAGCATGGCACCTTGAAAATATGAGCAGACATGGTCTAGAGGGGCGGGGTAAAAATCAAATAAATAAATAAATAAATAAATAAATAATAAATTACTCTTCATTGTATATATGATTCATTCATTTCTGAGCTTCATTTAAGATACAACTTTTAATCTTCAGGACACCGACAGTTTAGAATCTGGAAAGGTGAAGGACTGCTGTTCTCATGTTCCTTCCTGAGTGCATGGTTCAATAGCTGAGGCTGTGTTCCTGATTTCTTCCACAGACAAAGTATAGCAAGTTCCTGTATAGTCTGGATATTTATTTGCGGTCCCGCTCCTGAGGAATACTGTATATTCTTGGCCACAAAACAGAAAACCTTTATCTACCAAATTAAGACCTGAATTTTCAGAGAGATCTTCAGAATGAACTGTTCTATTTTCTGTCTCTCTCTCTTTTTTTTGCTGGAACAGTTTCTAATCAGATCTCTGTTGCTTTAGTTTTGATGCCACGAATGTTTCTTTTTCTGCAATATACTGTTGTTATTGTATTTTACACTACAATAACATAAATTTATTTTGGTTTGTAAATCATGCTGTTTTGTTATTGGAAAGAAAGTAGTGTGCTTTTTGTTTTGTTATTGGAAAGAAAGTAGTGTGCTTGACACTTACATTCTGTTATTTAAAAATTCAAAGACTGAATTTCCACTACTGTGACACACTGATTTTCACGCTATATCCTGACATTCTTTATGTGTAATCACATGCTATGTAGACTCACATTAGCACAGATGTGAAGTCAGGATTTTATAGCCTAATGTTCACTCCTCTTCACTTGTTTACAGTGAACTGACCAACTGTTTTGTTCCCAAGATTTGAGAAATTATATAAAAACTAATCACACTCTTCTGATTTTACTATCACGTTTTACAGCATCTGTAAGGCACCTTATCTGTTAACCCCAGATCTTGTCCTGAGAAACTTCTCTATTTCCTCCATAATGAAAACTCAATGTGAGTCAGTACTGTAGGCACATTTCTTGACAACAGTAATAAAACAGAATAATAATATAACTCTACTCTTTTTTTAACTTGTCTGATTTAAAGTCACAATTTAAAGTCTTGTAGCTACATGAGAGCACAGAGTGCTGTCCTCTGAAGATGCCGGCCACAGAGACTGGCGAAACGTTAGGAAGAACAACCTTCAGAACACGGCCAAAGAGCCAGAAAAACCCACAACAATCACCATAAAAGCCTTTTTAATTTGCTTCACTTTCTTTTAATGTTGGGAAATTATAGCAGGTACAATATTGCAACCTTTTATTGTACAGAACACAGAAAAGATAAGTGAATGATGCTTTTATCATTCTGGAATCCTGTAAATGGAATAAATCTGCACATGTCTACAAATTCAGCTACATGAATTCATTTTCGATTGTTATGTAATGTGAGGAGACTGAATTCTGAGGGAATTTGTCGGGAAATAAACATTCACTGATGAGGAAGTGGGGAGAGATTAGGAGGAGGAACAGTAATAAAGCCCAATGTCATATATTCTCATTGGTGGAATTCTTGTGAGGCATCTTGTTTCAATGGACTGAAGGGGATGGCTGTATTAAGTGGAGTTTCTGCCTCTTTCTCCCCACTTGCAGCCTCTGCACTCCCAGCTAAGAATTTTCGAAAAGATAACTTGCTGCTGCCGATGACCACCCCCAAGGGAGGCCTGGAAAATGGTGACTAGAAACCAGGCTTTCTTTGAGGTGGTTGTCTGGAACGCTCTGCCTCTGGAAATACACTACCCCCCCACCCACTTTTTTTAAAACCTTTACAGCTCTTTATAGAAGCCTTCAAGAATATCTCCATCTGTAGTAGACCTTTTAACCCACTATATTTATACCTGTAATTTTGTTCAGCTGTTGCCATAAGGGGTTGTCTTTTTGTCATTTGAACTATACATTTCTCTTTGGTTGGGGTGGAAGAATGGGCAGTTCTTCTACTGGTTGTGAACTGCCCAGAGTACTGCTTTTCCACTAGATAGATGATATACTAAACAAACAAACAAACAAAAAATAGGATTCACTGGCAATTCCTTCCCCACATACACATTGCATTTTCCCTACATGAGAATCCATACTGCTCAGGAGGCTCCTCCAATCTTATGGAATGACTTTGGGCTTCTGAAAATTCAGAGTGGTAAACTGGAGAGATGAGGACTGGAATATTCCCTGGCTTGGCCTTATGTTCATGCAGTTTTGAATCCAATGCTGTATTTTTAACAAAAGCATGATTTTCAAGTTCTTCACCTTCAAAACTTTGAGATCATGAATGGAATTATAAACTGCTGGATTCCATTCAAGTTGCTGTACTAGATCTAAAAAAACTGCTCTCTGGGATTTGCATGCCACAAGGCTATGAGCACAAAGATTATTATCAACTATAGGCAAAACATAATTAGTATCATACAGATATGGCAAGCTAGTCAAGATTCTATCTCCTACTGTGTCTTCTCTCGCTACCTCCAATTTGCATTATATTCCCAGAAATAAAAAACAGAACATAATACTCACATGCTCTCATGAGTTCGTAGACCTTTGGAGGACACCCTTCAGGCTGTTCCATTCGGTAACCTTTCTCTAGCAGATCATAAACCTGAGAGAGGTCAATGCCAGGATAAGGTGACATTCCATAGGTTGCAATCTCCCATAATAATACTCCAAAAGCTGTAAGTTAAACAAGATTAATATTTAGTCCTGCTGTTCGTCATTATCTGTACACCACTATTCACTATTCCTGCACTATTCAATTATTAGTTATAAAGAGAAAACAGAATTAGAAGCTGAAGGAGTTTTTCAATTTGGATGGGCTTCTTGGATGTGGCAACTTAACTGAATTGAAATGTTTTCTTCAACACTGACCACTAAGTGGGCAGAAGGGAAGTTTATCTGAGCCCATGTAGGTAGATTTTAGTTAATAAACGATAGGAAAATTTCCTAATTGTAAGAAAAGAAATAGAGAGGTTACTTATCTGTAACCATAGTTCTTTGAGTGGTCCCCTGTGAATCCCCACAAATGGGTTTTACTGCGCCTGCGCAGGGCTTCTCGGAATATGCTAGAGCTTAAAAAGACGTGATTAGTAGGACATTGCCACATGGCGTGCTTGCTCTGCCCGCCCGTAATACCTCAGTTCCGAAAATGTCGGTCGCTGTCAAGGCTCTGGCCAAAACAAAGCTCAAGACACTAAGTGATGGACAGCAGGGAGGATGGGCGGGATGTGTGGATTCACAGAGGAACACTTGAAGAACTATGGTTACCGGTAAGTAACCTCTCTTTCTTCTTTGTGGCCTCTGTGAATGCACACAAATGGGTGACTAGCAAGCTCACGTACCAGAAGGAGGGCCATCACACCAACAATGAAGTCAGCACAGCCCTTCCGAAATTTGCTTCTTTCTTGACCCTGACATCTAGGCGGTAACGCGTCAGAAAGTCAAAGGAGTTGACCAAGCGGCCGCTCGACAGATGTCAGGGACTTTAGCGCTACATAGCCAGACAGTGGACATGGCCATTGCTCTTGTAGAGTGTGCTTTTAGCACATCTGGCAGAGCCTTGCCTGCCAAGTCATAAGCCAAGAGACAATCCACCTTGAGACTGTCTGTGAAGAGGCTGGAGAACCTTTCCGTGGGCCATGGAAGCACACAAAGAGTCTGGGAGAAGTGTGAAAATCCTTAGTCTTGGAAACATAAAATGCTAAGGCGCGACGAACATCGAGGGAGTGAAGCATGCACTCAACATCAGAAGAGGGAGATGGAAACAACGTCGGAAGAATCAAAGGCTGATTAACATGGAAATCTGAACTCACTTTAGGGAGGAAGGTAATGTCTGGGTACAAGACAACTTTATCTGGATAAAACTGAATATAAGGAGGGTCGGCCCGAAGGGCGGCCAGCTTGCTTGCTCGATGTGCAGAAGTTATAGCTACAAGAAAAAAAAGTTTTGAGGGAGAGAAGTTTGAGATGTGTCGAGGCCATGGGTTCGAAAGGAGGCAGAGCGAGAGCATGGAGGACAACTTGGAGGGACCACTGAGGGAGTGGAGGTTGCACAGATGGGTGAATGTTCCGCAAGCATCTAAGAAACATATTGAGAGTTGGGTGGGAAAATAGACGAGAGGCCTCGGATACAATAGGCTGATAGAATACTATTGCAGAAATATAACTTTCAACGTGGAGTGGGCCAAACCTTGATCAAAACAGATGACAAAGAAACAAGAGGAGGGTATCCAGCAAAACAGGAACTGCTGATAAACCTCTTGATGCAAGAGAAAACATTCCACTTATAGGAATATAACAATTTAGTAGAGGGTTTCCTAGCTTTGTCCAGTACCTCCGCTATGATGGGGGGATTCTCCATGCCGTGAGGTGTAAAGATTCCAGGTAGGAGTGACAAACACGGCTGTCGTTCTGAGTCAGCAGGTGTGGCCAAAGTGGAAGTCTCAGGAATATGGCCACAATGGCCCTGAGAGGAGTAAACCAGGGTTGTTGAGGCCACTATGATGCTATTAAGATGGCATTGACTCACAGCTGGCAGAGCTTGACTATCGTCCGCTTGGGGGGATTCTTGGGGGGGATAGAGAAGGACATTGCCCCAGTCTACCATGAAGGCATCACCTAGGGAGTTCACACCGTGTCCCGCTTGAGAGCAGTAGTTGCTGCATTTTGAGTTGGTCTGGGTGGCAAAAACGTCGAGATCTGATGTTCTCCATTGGTTGCAGAGATGGTGGAAGATAGAGTTGTCGAGAACCCACTCATGGGTTTGGGTGGTCAGATGGCTCAAACAATCGGCAACTTCGTTGTCCTCTGTAGATACATGAATAGCCATAGGGAAGATGTGGCAGTCGTAGCACCATTCCCATAGCTGGATCATGAGGCATAGAAGAGCCAATGAGTGAGTACCCCTTTGTTTGTTTATATAATACAGATTAGTCATATTGTCTGTGGTAACCTGGACGACGTGACCAGCTATGAGGAGACTGAAAGCTCAGAAAGCCTTGATGACTGCTAGCATTTCTAGGTGGTTGATATGCAGTACATTTTCCGAGTTAAACCATAGAGCATGAATTTCGTTATCGCCACAGTGTGCGCCCCATCGTATTGGGCTGGCATCCATCGTGACCTGTATTGTCAGTTGAAAAGGTCAAAAAGTATGGCCCACAAGGAGGTGCAGGACAAAAGTCCAAGTGAGTTGGCAAGCTAATTCTGAAGTGACAAGAAGATGTTTTGAAGGATGATCTAAGAGGGGGTCAAACAGGGACAGGAACCAGGCCTACAAAGATTGCATCTTGAGTCTCGCGTGTTGGAGCGCAGAAGTGGTTGAGGCCATCAAGCCTAGGAGATGTTGTGCGTGCCGAGCAGAAACCATGGCATGAGGTTAGAAATGGCAAATAGCTCTCTTCAATTTGGATATCTATTCATGAGGGAGAAAAACTCTGGCCTTGATTGAATTGAGATGCGCCCTGATGTAATCTATGGTCTGCGATGGATCGAGATGAGACTTCTTGAAACTGACTTGCAAATTGAGTTGTGCCAAAGTCTGAAGAACAAAGGCAGAGTCCCTTTGGCCTGCGGAGTATGACCCTGCTACTATCCACCAATTGTCTATATACGGAAAGACCATGATGTTGTGCAGACGAAGACAGGCAGCCACAGGAGCAATACACTTTGTGAAAGTTCTTGGACTGGTGGACAGCCTGAAAGGGAGGGCACAGAATTGGTAAGCCCTCTCCATGAAGAGGAAACGAAGATATTTAAAGTGATGTTTGTGAATGGAGATATGAAAATACACATCTTGTAGGTCTACAACCACAAACCAATTGTCTAAAGAAAGCAGTGGGATAATGGATTCCAGGGTGACCATGCGAAAAGCACGTTGGACGGATGTAGGTGTTGAGAAGTCGCAGGTCCAGGATGGGGCAAAGGCCTCCATCGCATTTGGGCCGGTAAAGTATCGAGAATAGAATCCATTTAAAACATATTGGGAAGGTACTCGTTGGATAGCGTATTTCTGGATGAGAAGAGAATTTTCATCCTCTGGGGCACTGGTTCTTAACCTTGGGTTACTCAGGAGTTTTGGACTGCAACTCCCAGAAGCCTTCACCACCAACTGTGCTGGCTGGGGTTTCTGGGAGTTGCAGTTCAAAAACATACGAGTAACAAAGGTTAAGAACCACTGCTCTAGGGCAGGTGAGTAAGTCATATGTTGGAGATAGCTAAGTGGAGGGAGGTTGGTGAATTCTAACAGGTAACCATGTTGTATGATAGAGAGTATCCAAGAGTCCTTGGTGACAATGGACCACTTCTTGAGAAAGGGAGACAGATGAGGACAGCCAGGGAACAGATTTGGAGGGATCAAGTGAAAGATATTGTTTATTCTTTCTCGCAGGTCGACGGAAAGTTTGTCTATTCTGCTGAGCTGGTGCCTGAGAGCACAAAGAAGGAGTAGCTGAGGAAGATAAAAGATTGGACCTCTCTGGAGCAGGACTGAAAGGTTTGTAAGAACAATAAGGTTGCTAATATGATTATTGAAAAGTGAAAGGTCTGTGCCACTGAGTGTGTTGGTATGTAGGCTGTTGGGTGGAGTAGGAGCGGGCAGTTTTGCGATTTTGTGTAGATTGTCCATCACTTCATCAGCCTTCTTGTTAAAAAGACCAACTCCATCAAATGGGAGATCCTCAATGTGGGATCTAGCATCATCATTGATCCCTGCCGAGCGCAGCCAAGCATGTTTTCAGAAGGAGATGGCAGAAGCCAAAGCCTTCGAGGCAGCATCTGCCGTATGGCGAGATGCAAGATGCTACTGCTTTCAGCAAGAGTAGTGGCTTCCAGAGGAGTACTGAGCGCATCAGTCCTGATCTCCTTGGGAGCAGACTGAAGGACAGGAAGTATTTTGTTCCACAATTGCCTGTGATAAGCGCCCATTGCTGCTTGATAATTGGAAACTCTCATCACAAATGAGGCTAAAGAATATAAACGATGGCCAAGAATGCCCAACTTTCTGCTCTCGCGGTTAGTGGGGGGTGACTGTTGACCAGTTACCAGCACGAGATTGATTAGATTGGACAACAGAATTTGGAGCAGGATGCTTGATAAGGAAAGCTGTATCGGCAACGTGTGTTCGATAGTGATTCTCAATCCATCTGGAAACTTGGAGGGAGGTGGATGGCTTGTCCCATGACTCTTTAATAAGGTCCAGCATTGCTGGTATGAAAGCCAGACTCAATGGAGGTGATTTATCCTGATTTATATAGTCAAAGACGAGGTCGTGCTTAGGGGGAGGAGGTTGCTCGATATTGAGCTCCAACGACATGGCCATCTGAAGAATGAGTTGGGAATAAGAGGTAACGTCTTTAGACAGGGATGGAGCGTGAACATCTGCAACATCCGAATTCAGTGTCGGTAAATTGGACAGAGACTCCCTGGAAACTTCAGAGGGAGAATCATGTTCAGAAGCTGTCGAAACAGAGGAGTTCACAGACATGGGGAGAGTTGGTGAAGGAAAGTGTTGACGGGCCCGAGGAGTTGAAAGAGGGGTTGGTGCTGGGACATGATGGGTAGATTGGGATCTAGACAAACTGATTGTCAGGCGCAATGTTGAAAACAATGGCACCGAAGAAGCACGTGAGTGCTTGAATGGAACAGGGTCATGTTGAGAAGAAGCTGGATTGCATCGA